CTTCGAAAGGGTCCCTGCTTAAAGGAAGGATACTAGGTAGACCTGCCCGATCACGATAAGCAGGTAGGACACGTGCATATTGTTCACCAAACGCAAGTGCTGATCGAAGTCTTCTTATCCAAGGGGATAACGAATTACGGTGGAACCAACAACCTTTTATCTGGAAAGAAAAAAAGGATGTATACCGTGTCAAAGTGTTTGACGAAGGCAGATAACGAAAAGTGTACCGACCAATGACCCCGATTGAGGATCTCCCTTTTGACCCCAATGAGTGACACTGGTCCCAAGAAACCCGGATAAAGAAAGGGAAGGTAAAGATGTCGGCGCTGGTTCACCTGAAATCCAAGTCGGTTTACTGAATGCTCCGTCCCAAGACAGATGGTACCGCCATCTCAATGTGGACCGAGGTCTCATAAAACCCATTAGATGGTTTGACAACCATGGCCAGAGACCTGCAAAAATCTCTGCCCTACAGTGGCAAATAGCACATCAATGTCTGCTAACCAACGACTGGCTAATAGAGCATACACACCTGAAACAGAATGGGCGGGCATTACCTTGGTGCCACAAATGTCTCCAAAGCTACCCCGGGAGAAAGCGCACTGAGACAATAGAACACATCTTTCTCCTGTGCCCAGCGGCAATACTGCTATGGAGGAGTTGGGACAAGATTTGGCGGCACATAGACCAGGCACACTATGGCCATGGGACTGGAGGGCCATACTTCTGGGACACTACCCCCATATCAGAGGAGATACATTCGAAGAAAACATGTTTTCCCTGGGAAGACACGCTGTCCTATGGGTCATATGGTGGAGAAGATGCATCCGGGAGGTGGAGGGAGCAAGGGTGGAAGACGGAGAGGTCACAGAGCAATTACGGTTATTAATACAACACGAAATCACGGCCCAGTGGAGGGCGGCCAAAGACAAACTCGATCAAATGCATACTCAGGGAGACATCAACAGAATTATCTTCCGCTTTGGTAATAATTGGTTGGGAGGGGAGGGATGGGTAGCCGAGGTAAGGTGGGTCGAGGATCGTCAGCTGAACAGTGAACTGCAAGAGGGACACGGACCAAAGATTGCAAGAGACTACCACCTGATTTTTCACGAATGGACAAAGGTAGATCCGGACGACCCATTGGGCCCTGCCCAAGAATTTGCAGACCCTTTCCCCCCCCCCCCCC